CGCACTGGAATAGAGAAACGCTAAACCCTTCCTCCTCCACCCGCTGTTCTAATTCTCTCTCTCTCTCAGCTGCACACACAAACCCTAAACCCTAAACCCTAAACCCTAAACCCTAGAAAACCCTAAACCCTAAACCCTAGAAAACCCTAAACCCTAAACAGCTTCACTAGGTGAAACATTTATAAGAAGGAAAACACAACCCCCACTAAACCCTAAACCCTAAACCCTAAACCCTAAACCCTAGATATCCTGAGCCGCTTAAACCCTCAAAAGAACCCTCCTAGGGTTTAGGGTTTAGGGTTTAGGGTTTAGGGTTTGTGTACCTATAGAGGGGAGAGCTGGGGCGAAGGGGCTGAATAGGCTCTGCTGCAGCTCAGGAGAAACAGCAGCAGCAACATCAGCAGCAGCAGCAAACAAAGAAGAACCCCCAAGAGCATCAGCAACGGGGAAATAGCGCATGCGCCTTGCTGCTCGGTCTGCTGCTGTTGCTGCTGCTGCTGCTGCTGCTGCTGCTGCTGCTCGTCGTGGGGATGCGGTTGCTGCTTCTCCTGCTGCTGCTGTTGCTCCTGCTGTTTCTTCTGCTGCTGCTGCAGCAGCAGAAGCAACAAAAGCAGCAGAATCAGGACTGCTGTATCTGCTGCTGCTGCTGCTGCTGCTGCTGCTGCTGCTGTCTTCCGTTTCATCTCCCCCTAGATAATAACCAATCCCCTGCTGCTGCTGCTGCTGCAACTGCTGCAACTGCAGCAACTGCTGCTGCTGCTGCTGCTGCAACAGCAGCTGCTGCTGCTGCTGCAGCAGCTGCTGCTTCAGCTGCTGCTGCTGCTGCTGCTGCTGCTGGTCTGCTGCTGGCTCCATCCAGGGCTGCAGCGCATGCGCATGCTCGAGGGTTATATAACGAAGACAGCAGCCGCACTTAACGAGTCTCCTGCTGCATGCGTTTTCGTGCTGCTGCAGCAGCAGCTGCTGCTGCTGCTGCGCCTGCCGTATCTGCTGCTGCAGCACCTCGCTCTCCTGCTCTAGGCGCTCCAGCAGCACAACCAACTCCATCTCAACAGCTTCTACAGCAGCAGCAGCAGCAGCAGCAGCAGCACCTGCTGCAGCAGATGCTGCTGCAGCAGGAGCACGCAGCTTTCTTACTGGAGGAATGTATACGCTGCTGCTGCTGCTGCTGCTGCTGCTGCTGCTGTCGCAGCTGGAACTCGTAGCTGCGGGTAGATGCGCACTGCGTTCTGCTGCTGCTGCTGCAGCAGCAGCAGCAGCTGCATCAGCAGCATCAGCAGCAACATCTTCATCAGCATCATTATCAGCAGCAGCAGCAGCAGCAGCATTCTGTAGTGCTTTTCTATTTTTATCTCGAAGCAGCAGCAGCAGCCTATTTGCTGCTGCTGTTTGTCTTTCCACCTGCATGCGCTTCTGCTGCAGCAGCTCGTCTCTCCTCAGCAGCAGAAAGGGGCAGCCGAAGCAGGCAAAGCGGCACAGCCAGTACTCACACTGCTGCTGCTGGTGCTGCGCAAGCCTGCAACACAGCAGCAGCAGCAGCAGCAGCAGCAACAGCAACAGCAGCAGCAGCAGCAGCAGCAGCAGCAGCGGCAGCGGCAGAAGCGATGGATGTCTGTAGATTGCCCTCTTTTTGTTCTGCCCACAGATGTAGTGCATTCAAACAGCAGCAGCAACAGCAGCAGCAGCAGCAGCAGCAGCAGCAACAGCAGCAACAACAGCAGCAGCAGCAGCAGCAGCAACAGCAAGAGCCCTAGTAGCACCAGCAACAACAAACCAACACCACTAACACCAACAACAACACCAGCACCAGCACCACCAGCAGCAGCAGCAGGAGCAGCAGCACCAGCAGCAGGAGGAGGAGGAGGAGCAGCAGCAGCAGGAGCAGCAGCAGCAGCAGCAGCAGCAGCAGCAGCAGACCTGGCAGCAGGAACAACCTTGTTGCATGCACTGCAGCGGACGAGTAGACGGCTGTAAATAGCTGCGCGCTGCAGCAGCTCAACGCCGAAGGGCCTGCAGCCCCAGAAGGACCAGAACCAGCCTGCATCTGCTGCTGCTGCTGCTGCTGCTGCTGGTGCTGCTCCTGCTGCTGCTGCTGCTGCTGGTGCTGCTGCTGCTGCTGCTGCTGCTGAGCGAGGGCCAGATTGCTGCGCCTTGGGGGCTGCCCGTCGCCCCAGCTGCTTCAAATCTATGTTATAAAAACGATCGTAGAAATGCTCAATCTTGCTGCTGCTGCTGCTGCTGCTGCTGCTGCTGCTGCTGTTGCTGCTGCTGCTGCTGCTGTGCTGCTGCTGCTGCTGGTCAATAAGACGCTGCAGCAGAGCTGCTCCTTTTGCTGTTTGTATATCTGAAAGACAAAAGGGACGGAGACCATCAACTTCTTCTGCCAGTGGATCCTGCTGCTGCTGCTGCTGCTGCTGCTGCTGTTGCTGCTGCTGCTGCTGCTGCTGCTGCTGCTGCTCTTTGTCTGTGTCGATGAGATCCAGCTGCCTCAGCATGGCTTTACAGCCCGGCAGCAGCAGCGGCAGCTGCTGCATCAGCTCATCGTCTGCGTTTTGCTGCTGGTGCTGCAGCAGCAGCTCCTCCTCATCCTCGATATCCTGCTGCTGCTGCTGCTGCTGCTGCAGTTGCTGCTGCTGCTGCTGCTGCAGTTGCTGCTGCTGCTGCTGATGCTGCTGCTGCAGTTGGTCGCTACTCTCTTCTCCGTATTCTCTCTCCTCCCGTTCTTCTGCCTGCTGCTGCAGCAGCTGTAGCTGCTGCTGCTGTATCTGCTGCTGCTGCTGCTGCTGCAGCATCTGCTGCTGCTGCTGCTGCATCTGCTGCAGCTGCTGCAGCACCGCAGCAGACAGCAGCGGCTGCAGCAGCTTTGTTGTCGCTATAAAAGAATTACATAAAGGGCAGCGAGACCTCAGGTGTATAGACAACAAAAAACACACAGAACAACCAAAGTGCCCGCAAGGGGTCAATGCAGGTCTATCCGCAACCTAAACAAACAAATAAACAAAATATATTTATTTATTTATTTATTTATTTTATTTATTTGTTTGTTTTATTTGTTTATTTTATTTATTTGTTTTGTTGTTTATAAAGACAGCAAAAAACACACAGAACAACCAAAGTGCCCGCAGGGGGTCAAGGCAGGTCTATCCGCAACCTAAACAAATAAATAAAACAAATAAAATAAAATAAATATATTTGTTTTGTTTATTTATTTATTTATTTGGGTTGTTATTGTCTACTTTGTTTCATTTATTTATCTTATTTATTTATTTATTTATTTATTTATTTATTTATTTATTTTATTTATTTTTTTATTTATAGAGACGGAGGAAAACAAAGAAAACAAACAAAGGGAACGCCACCTAAATAACAAAATAAATAAATAAATAAATAAAATAAAATAAAATAAAATAAATATATTTATTTATTTATTTGTATAAATATAATAAATAAAACGAAATAAATATATTTGTTTGTTTGTTTGTTTTACTTTAGGCAGAACTAGAGATATAAAGAAAAAAATAAAAAAATAAAAAAATAAAAAAAAAGAAAAAAGGAAAAAAGAAAAAGAAAGAGACAAAAAGGAAAGATAAAGAGAGACAGAAAGAAAAAAAAAAAAAAAAAAAAAAAAAAAAAAAAAAAAAAAAAAAAAAAAA